ATAATACTATGTGAAAGTTCAATCTCTAAGACACTTTCATTTATGCATGAGTTTTGGATTTATCTTGGTACAGTATTAATTTTTACTATATAAATAGAGGAGGAATGCTGGAAATTTATATAGTAATGAAGATTAATATTTCAGATGGACTACCATGAAAGCTTAAAATAATATTTGGAGTTGGAGGAGTTATAAATATTATTTTAGTTTGGTAGAAAGTTAATTTGAGAATCACTTTGTTGGAAGGCTTTGTCTATTCCCCAACATTGGGGGATTATTCCACAATATAGGGGAATTGTTTGTTTCATTTGAAAAATGATTGCACATCACATGAGCTTCCAATTTCCCAAACTTATATGCAAAAGTGTGCTAGAAAATTATAATATATATATATTATAATAATTTGCACAATTATTTGCATGCGGTTCACAACCTTACAAAAGGTTCATAATTACATATATATTCATGTTGAACATGATTTATGTAATTAATATTCTCTTATGATAAATATATCATTTAAGATATATTTTATGGAAGATAAATTTTTAAAACTGCACAAAACTTCCATGTAACTTCTACAACCGTCATATTTTCATTTATAAATATTTTGGAGAAACATCTGAAGATAGAAATGCAATAAACTTGCATTAATGTGAGATATTTCACAGTACTACTTTTCTACCGGAAGTTCTTAAACAAAGCAACTTAAGAATTTCATCATCTTCTTGTATCCCATAAGATTGAATCTTGAACCTTGTTGCTTTATATGAGGGAGATTTAAAGCTTATAGAAAAGTGATTACACGCCTGAAGATCTCGTTTCCTCACTTCCCTATCATCAAACACTCAATTTCTCGAACAAGTTACATGTTTTTTTGCCATCTATTCTAGTCTAGTATATACAGTTAAAAAGTGATTCTGAGAAACATTAGTTCACAAAGTAATTTTAGTGACCCTTTACCTCATTTTGTAGTCCTGGAGGAAAACCTGTTCTGGAATATCAACTTTCTGAAGTTGCGTAGAGCTCATTTTTCTGATTCCCCATTGTTTTTTAATCGACTAGGCCTTGAGGTCGCATGAGTTTTAAAATCGTTAACGAAGTAGCCTGTAAATGTGAGTTAAACAAGGAGATGGGAGTTTTTACAGCTTTTTCAGGTATAATAATCGGTTTATACTCCTAATGTGATGATGATTTTGAGAAATCTTTGTGATGGTGAATATATATGATGGATGTGATACAATTTTTTACATAGTGAAAGGTAAACTATCACTTCATTCACAAAAATATCATCAACTTGCTAAGATTAAACACCAAGTGGTTGGACTTAAATATTACAAGGATCAAGGTTACAATTTGACTACACTTAAACATTACGTCTGTATAGTTTCTTAATTTGGAATATAGTTGTGAATGATAGATTGTTTCAAAATATTTGCTTAACTTTATTGGTCTTGTTTTATTTATTTTTTATTTTTTATTTTTTTTTATTTTTTTTGGTATACATTAGCTCATAGCCAATATCTTTTCTTACATGACCACTTACCATAATGGAATGTAACGTTTTATCCGTTACTATTATTATAACATTAGGATAAGTTATGATTTATTCAGTGTTTGATATGTGGTGCAACACTAATAACCTAATAGCTAGACTACTGTTATGATTAGAAGTCTAGTTAGGCATTAGGAGACCTAAAGACATACAACCACAATGATGGCCAGTGGTTATATAAGGTCACTAGTCCTCTCACTGCTCACATTACATACCTCATACACCATCTAGAGAGAGCTGAGTAAAGTGAGAGACGAAGTACTCATTATCGGTGCAGCAGTTCGGATCGCTCAACCGTCTCAAGAACTGTGGCTGGAGGTTAGTCGGTCCTGTTATCACATATTATATGATGCATGTGATATATTTAGTCTAACAGTTGGTATCGGTCGCCATAAATAATCTCTGCCTGGTTCTTTTTAATTGCATATAATTTTTTGAATATGTTGTATACTTTGTATAATTGAGATACATATTTAAATATTTGTATGCAATTGTATGTCTGGGCTGCTGGAAATTAAGTTTATTCCGCATTAAGAAACAAAAAAAAAATTAAATTGGATAATTAATTTTTTGTTTGGCCTCTTCGCTGCTTCGCCGAAAATTTCTTTTTGGCCTTTGCGCTGCTGCTAGGCTAAACGTAGGGAAGATGATGTATGGAGATGAATGATGATTTAAGGTTTGGGCCGGGTTTGGCCTAATTGGGTCAGACTTGGGCTCCTATTAAAAAATAATAGTAATGAAAATTAAATTTGGGCCTGTTTTGGTTTTGGGCGAAACCTGAATTGATATTTAGATTACATCAATTCAGAGTAGTTATGCTGTGCATCCGTATGCACCATGCATGGTGTATACGGATGCAAAAACGACGTCGTTTTATTAAAAACGCGCGTCTCCCCTTAAAAAAAAATTCAGGTTCGATTCCCAGCAACAACATTATGTTGTTCATTCATTCTGGAATTTTAGTTCATAGGTTATGGAATGAGTTAATACCATCTGAGGTCCTCCGAGTATATTGGTTTTGCCACGTTTAGTCCTAAACTTTCAAATTGACCATCTGTGGTCCTTCGACTTTCAAATTTAACCATTCGTGGTCCAAGTTAACCATCTATGGTCCTTCAAGTTTTGAAATTTAACCAGTCGTGGTCCTCTTAAAAGGACCATGGTTGGTTAAAATTTAATAGTTGAAGGACCATGGGTGGTTAACTTGGACCACGGATGGTTAAATTTGAAAGTCGAAGGACCACAGATGGTCAATTTGAAAGTTTAGGACTAAACGTGGCAAAACCACTATACTCGGAGGACCTCGGATGGTAATAACTCGTTATGGAATTATAGTTCATCGATTCTGGAATTGTAGTTCATCGATTCTGGAATTGTAGTTCATCGATTCTGAAATTTTAGTTCATAGATTCTGGAATTTTTAGTTCATAGATTAGATTTTGGAATTTTAGTTCATAGATTCTGGAATAATAGTTCATCGATTCTGTAATTTTAGTTCATATGTTGTTGCTGGGAATCGAACCTGAATTATTTTTTTTTAAGGGGAGACACACGTTTTTAATAAAACGACTTGGTTTTTGCATCCGTATGCACCATGCATGGTGCATACGGATGCACAGCATAATTTGCCATTAATTCATTCAGTTTAAGATCTTCATCATATATAGACTTCTTCTAAATTAATTATCCAATTGAAAATTTTTTTATTAAGTCTATTATTAAATTATTATTCAACTTTGAATAATTATTCAGTTTTAATTTTTCAGTTGAATTTTAATTTAATATTGTTTTTCAGTTTAAATTGTATTAAGTGTTGCAATTTAATTGTGGAGTATTTGTGCGTAATGTGCATAATCTGAGCATGCTATTCATCTCTTTATTGAAATAATTATTTGACTGTTATAATTATGCCTGTAGAGAAGCATGTTCATTAAGAAAAATTTAGAACCTTTTAGGTCTGAATTTATATGCTATGCATGATTTAGTGCCTTTTAGGTGAATTAGTGCCTTTCAGGTAAGATTATGCATATTATTACTTACTCTTTAGTTATTACTCCACTCGTGTTTTATAAAGTTCCTAAAGCACATAAAGTACATAAACAATTCTTCGTAGTTTACCCTATTCAAAGCCTTATCCATAGGTGAAACTACACTCTTTAGATCTCTCAAACGATTTTACTTCAAAAATGAGAACGCATGAATTAGGGAATTTTCTTGGGGGGGGGGGGGGTATACTAGTTCTATGCCCCTAGCTTAAAAGCCTTGTTGCTACTAGTCCCCTTGCGACACTACTCTGTCTAAGGAGTTGGTTTTTAACCGAGCTACGTCTCGACCAACTTTCCTGGGAGTATACCTAAGGATTGTCTATCATATTTTGGTTTAATCTGTTTGTTTATTAGGCTTTCTTGCTAATGTGATTATGTTGTTTGGTCAATTAAAGAGTAGCCACAACATCTTTAATTTACCAAAATTACATATTAAGTTTTACTCATATAAAGTTAAAGGCAAGCATATTGTAGTTAATTCTGTGTGCATGATATGGATAAATTTAGCCCACAGGAAATTTTGTTATATTTGTAGGGTTAATTAGGATGAAATACCATACTATGATCATAATTTGCCCACAGGGATTATGTATCGGCATATAGTTTTGGTAGTTTTGTCATTAAGGGTGGAAAAACTAAAATCGCACCCATTTCGTTTCCACCATTTGGTTTTGGTAGATTCATTATGCGTAAAAATTTAGCCCACAGGAAATTTTTATGGCATCTGAATTTATCTTTTTGCATAATTTTACTTTGGTAATATTATGTACTTCAGTATCTCTCTCTAATTTTGTGCCTCGAAAAATTCTAACCAAGCTTTCAATTTTCTTTTACAGTCACTATTCCAATCACTCAATCAATAACTATTGATATTCCTATCCTTAATGATGATAATCACAAAGAGTGGAAAGACGATGTTCTATTGAATTTGGGAATATTAGGGTTTGGATTATGCTATTCGCAATGAGAAGCCTCCTGAGCTTATTGCGGAAAACACTGAGGAACAGAAAACGCTATACGAGCGATGGGCAACAGCCAATCGCTTGGGCGTATTCCTCATTAAGTCAAAAATTGTCAGAGAGATTCGTGGTCCCGTTGATGTAGCAAAAATAAGATGTGAGCTCGGGTGTGAAATATCGTCCTCAGGGGATTGGGGGATATGGCACGCAATATGCAATCACAATAAACTAGGCACTAGCATAAGGAAATAAACAAGAAGCTAAGCAAACTACAAGTTTAAGGAAATGATAAGACTAACACATATTCACAAAGATAAACACAAAATAAAGAGATAGGACTCAAGCTAGGGAGCATTATCATCTAGATGATTTAACAACCTAAGGGATTAGGGATAACAAGTAACCAAGGAATCAAGCGCGAATGCACGTAGGTATCCTAGTCTATGAACCATTCTCGTGATTAATAAACAAGGATTATGACAAGGAAGAAATCGGAGGAAGAAATCGGATCTATGCAAGGGGTGGCTTGGATTCATCACCCAAGTCTCATTGAGGCAAGGAATCCTCCAAAAACAAGCTAATGAATGTGTACATTAAACATTAACAAGATATAAATATAAAACCTTCACAAACACATGAACCCTAGGTTGGAGTTCTTCCCCTTTTTTGCAATAATCACAAATCAAACATCAAGATAGATAATACAACCCTAACTCAAGTCCATAAACTAACTACTCATGATTCAATAGCATAAAGAACACAAAAACATAAATATAAAGCATAAACATTGCAAAATAAAGAGATAAAAGAGAGAAGAAAACTTCACTAAGAAATGGATGGTAAATCTTGGAGTCCAAGTGTTGAATCCTTGATTACAAGCTTGAAATATGTTAAGAAATCTAAATCTAAACCTAATCTAACACTACAATATGAAAGGAAGGGAAAGAGAGAAGCTAGGGCTCAACCATGGATCAAAACCGAGCTAAAATGAGTGAAAAACGCAGTATATAAAGTTGCAGAGGGCTGGCCACGGGTGTGGCCATGCCCTTGGCCACACCTGTGGCCAGAAAGGCAGTTTACACTGCCCAGTGGCCATGGGTGTGGCCACGGGCGTGGCCAGACCCGTGGCCACAAGGCAGTGTGCACTGCCTGTGCACTGAGTCTGTATTCTAGGTCATTTTTCACCCTCTAAACGTTTGAATTAGCATTTGGTGCTTGAATAAACGTTGTAGCCCTTCAGGTTTTCTTTCCAATGGAGCAAGAATCACTTTATTTGGACATTCCTTGGTTGAGATATGGTCCAAAAACCAAACAGTGGTCAGTTTTGAATTGTAAGTTTGGAACTTCAACTTCAAGGATAATTTCGACCCCTGTGGCTTCCTTTTTAGGCTTTTATCTCTGAATATGAGTTGTAGCTCTTTGAGTCTTCTTTCTAATGGGTCAAGAATCACATAAATTGAATATTTCTAGACCAATATATGCCTCAAAAACAGAACAGTGGCCAAACCATGCGAGAATTTCAACTTGTTGACACTTGTTCCACTTTTGCCTTTGGTTTAATTTGTCCATATGATCAACACCATTGAAAACATCACTCTTTGGCTCCTTTGGAAGTGTTGCATCCATCTCCTTAGCTTCACATTGGCTCCCCTCGACTCCAAATGCATCCAACATGATCTAAAATCCTTCATTTCTACTCAAAGATAATGAATTGTGCATAAAGGATCAAATGAACATATAAAGATCATTTTGAACAACATTGTGACACTTCATATGAAAAACAAGGCTAAATATGGGGTAGACATGGGTATAAATATGAACAATTATGCACTTATCAACTCCCCCACACTTAAACATTTGCTTGTCCTCAAGCAAAAACAAGAAGTAAATCACCATCCTTGCAATGAAATTGATCACACTCCCACTTTGCACAACCTTTCAAACTACAATCCAACTTGTTACAAAACAACTTGTTTCAAGAATCATTTTACACTACAAGAAAAATGCACATAGACAACACTAGAAAGACAACAGTTTTTAAGAAAAGTGTTGTCTTTTGTATAAAAGACAACAGTTTGGTCCAAAACCGTTGTCTTTGATGCAACACTTTTGTCAAAGACAACGGTTTTTACTTAACCGTTGTTATAAGTGTGTTGTCTTTGTGCATTTTGTGAAAAGACAACACCACAACGACAACGGTTTTTAAAAACCGTTGTCTATGTGCGTTTTTTTTTTTAAATAAGACAACGGTTTTTTTAACTGTTGTCGTTGGTGTGTTGTCTTTAAGCGGACTGGAATACACAACACTAGAAAGACAACGGTTGTAAACAACCGTTGTCTTTGTGCGCTCTTTTTTAAAAAATAGACAACGGTTTTATTTAACCGTTGTCGTTGGTGTGTTGTCGTTAAGCGCACTCGAATACACAACACTAAAACGACAACGGTTTTATATAACCGTTGTCTTTGCATGTTCTTTATTTGTTTAAGACAACGGTTTTGTTTAACCGTTGTCTTTGATATGTTGTCTTTAAGTGTATTTGAATACACAACACTATAAAGACAACGGTTTTAAAAAACCGTTGTCGTTGCGCATCATTATTTAACATGTATATAAAATAAAAACAAAGATGTTAACTAGAAGAATTGAACCTATGACCTCATGCTTAACAAATACAAGGTTTTACCAACTACACAACACAAACTTTAATATCTAAGGGTGCAACATTTGGTATATAACTGGGTTTCTTCTGTGTTGTTTGTGAAAACCAAGACAACAATTTTAGATGATAGTTGAAAAATTCCCCCCAAGAAGAATAAAACCTGAGACCTCTAGCATAATAAACTAAGCTAAACCCACCAAGCCACAACAACACTTATGTATTTAAGCGCAACATCTAGTATATTACCAAAATAGTTCTATTTTCGTTCATATTTAAATATAAAATTATTCACCAAAATTTCAAAGTAAATTCATTAAAGTTTTATTTTCAATTATATTACAATAAAGGCCAATCTATGAATTCAAAATAATAATAATAATTATCAAGTATAAAAAACAGTACGGGGTGGTGTTCATAATGGTGCGGTATATATGATGAGTATTGGTTTAGGGCGGTATATATGATAGGGGACGGGGTTGGTAATCGACTATTCCGGCAAGCGCATGACTAACAAGGTTAGCTATATGTTGGTAATTGACGCTTACGGCTAGCGCATGACTAACAAGCTAAGGTTAGCTATGTGTTGGTAATCGACCCTTCCGGCTAGCGCATGACTAACAAGGTCGAAACTGTTGGTAATCGACCCCTCCAACATGCCTGGAACACGTTGCGAATGGATATGAAAGAGTAGTTTATCGATGCCGTACAGTTTGCTATATCCCATTTCTTTTGCCGCGATCTTAATTAATTAGCTCTATGTTCATAATTACCAAACTATATATTCATAATTTTTGAATTGAAATGCATATTCATAATGATTGAATAACTCTGATCAATATTCACAATTACAGAACTTTGTGGTTATAATTTGCGATGTTCATATTCCCAAGTGTTTATAACTATACATTTTAGAAATTGTGAATCAACAATACAGATTATGAATATGCAGTATAGAAATTATGAATTTATTATATAGAAATTATTAATATATACAACTGTATTTAAATTAGAAATATACTATATAGAAATTATGAATCTACATTATAGAAATCTATAAATTTCGTGTTCTGTACCTACTTTAACCCAGTTTTATTTTAATTGACCGGATCGGATGTAGCGACTCGAATAATTAAACTAATATTTTGTTAAGAAATTTCCCTCTAATTAAGCTATCTAAGACAAATTAAAATTTTCCCCTAAGTCAAAATTTCCCTCTAAGACAAAATTGGGATTTTTTTGTCTTCCCTCTCCTTCAGACCTTGTTCGCCGACCGTCAGTCTCCGCTAATAGCTCGTCCGTGTCGGGGGGGTTTCTGCCGGCTTCAACAACACCAACGACACAGCTCGTCCGTAGGTCTTCGCAGCCATCTCCGCCGACCGCCACTAGACATCTCCGCCGACCGTGTACCGCCGCCGCGTCCAAGCTTCGCACCGTCGCCAAAGCCCAACCTCTTCCGCCATCGCCGCCGCCATCCTGTGTCGCCGTCGGTCCAGCTGCCGCCGCCGTGAGGTATCCAAGTTATTTTAAGGTAATAATCTGTCAACTTTATCCAAGCTAGGTCTGATTGTATCAATGTGTGTATCAATACAGTATTTGTTTTTTTTGTGTGAAAATATGATAAAAATTTAAATTATGATCTCTGGGTGTGATTATTGTTTTCAATCTACTTTTGCATAAGAAAGAAGTTGTAGCTTTGTCAATGTGTGTATCAATACAGTAGTTGCTTACTGCATAACTTCTAAATAATTAAATAAATTACTTACTGCTTAGTGAGTTAGTGTAGGCTGTGTAGTAGATTGCTTCATCACATATTAGTGAATTTATGGATTGTTAAACATTTAATTTTTAATACTTTGCACATTGGCAGTGAGCAGTGAGCTCATTTAGACTTTGGAGCATATTTTAAATTATGAACTATTATTAGATGTTGCTGCACAATATGTTGAAGGATGGGATTGGATTACTCCAATCAGGTGAACAAGTGTTCTGTTACTGACATTTGCAATTCATACTGATTATTCTCTCTCTGTTTTATGTGTGTGTTTGAACTTTTTGAGCAGATGTTCTTGTTTCCATGGTTAGATGACTCTGAATTTATTGGAATAGTCATTTCCAATAGTTAGATTCCCTTAGGCAACAGGTCACACACCCATAGACTTTGGTGCCTCCTACTCTGATGCTGCTGTGCCAAAAAAAAAAAAAAAAAACAAAAGGAATAGTCCCATTTTATGGAATAGTCCTTTCCAAGGGACAGCTTAGGCCATTTCCTATAGGAAGCCAATTTTTTTGTTAAAACAAGAGAATCAAGCGTGCACTTGTAGAAAGAAAGATTTGTAACTCTTTCACTGAGTCTCACTATTAGCAGTTCATGCTCTCTACAGAGCATTTAAATTCCATAATTTTGTTTTACTATAAATACTTTCACAGGGCATATGGATGGTGTTTGAGCAGAGTTGGTAAAATAACAGTATAACTTTTCTGGAGCTTTCAGATAAGGTCTTCTTTTTAAATTTGTTGGGATATTAGTGACTCACTTGCTCTTAAGATCAGTGATTCACTATGTTGGTTTTATTCTCTCTTTCCTGTCTACTAGACTCTGCGGGAACAATAAACTGAACTTGTTTTAACTAGTAATTTGTTTTTAGTGTTAATTTTGAAATCTTTATGTGCTTGTCTATGAACGAATATTGTTATTCTGCAACTGCAAATTCTGCAGCAGATCAGCTCTTATGGTGATGATAGTAATAACACAAAGGAAAAGGCAAAACATGTAATGTTATATGTGAGTTGTAGTGATGATGTTAGTTTTTTTTTTTTTTTTTTTTTATAGTAATTTTGTACTATTTGGGGTGGGAGAATGTCTGGTGGGTACTGACCGGGAAAATGAAATCTTGCATGCAATTTGCATCCTAGATTCTTGTTTTTACACACACATACATGTCAATTATATGAAGGGCTATTAAAATGGTTCATGCATCCACTACGAATGCAAAGAAAGGACGCAGTAAAACTGCTTGAGAAATTGTCAAGGTAATTTCATATTTTTAACTATATAAGTGTTTGTATATAGCTAAATTGTAATGCAAATATTATTTAACATTTGTAGGCTCCTCGTCAACCGGATAGTAACCAATGCGGTTTCTTTGTCATGGCGTACATGAAAAGTTTAATTGAGAATATGCCAGACTTCGATGATAAAAATTCTGTTCAAGCACTGGTATTACATTACATTTCTACTCTCTCTTCCCTATTTCTCGCTGTTATTTAATTGCAGAATGGTTCTAGGTTTTTAATGCTTTGTTAGCTTGGGTTTAAGCCTCTCTCTTTTTCACTTGATTTGGACAGTTATTGATGATAAATTTGATTTTTATTTTTTATTTTTTAGAATAAGTTTGTTGCTCTGAAATTTGGGTGTAGAATGCGTGTGAAAGCTCGAAATTTTGGGCATTTTAGTGCTTGATGTTTTGTAATTAATAAGGGATTTCTTTGTCGTTTGTGTTTAAATTTCATGCATTATATTCTCATGAGATTTTATCTGAATTGTTTATCAAATTTGGGTGTCTAGTAATCTCCCTAAGACTTGAAGGCTAAGACAGTGTGTTTCTTTACTTGTTGGCTACACTTGTTATGATTCTCTTTAGGGAACTCATTATCTTGTTATGAACAGCTTGAGTATGAATGTGGTGAGAGTAAGAGGGCAGTTTCATTTCATTGCAAATTATTTATATCTATACTAATTTATTTTCTTACTTTTTACATGTAGTTTCAACAAGTTGATTATGACAAAGAGGTTATTGATCTGGTGCGATCTGAATGGGCCGATATTCTATCAAGTCATATAGAGTAGGTATGATTTGGTCATTCGAACGTTGTGATCATCTGGACTTGAATTGGTTCGGGGAATTGTTGTAGTAGTATTATGACTTGGATGATAATTAGAATTGGTCATGGAAGTCTTTTGACTTGTTATTTTGAACCTTATTAGCTTGTGCACAATTATGTAACTACACTTTGCAACATATGGTGAATGGATAAATTGTTTTTTTATACGATTATAATTTAAGCAGGTGAAAAATGGTTAAAAACCGTTGTCTATTTTACAATAGACAACAGTTAGAAACCGTAGACTTTTCTACAAAAGACAACAGTTTATGGGTGTTTCAACAACACCCAATAGACAACGGTTTATAACTGTTGTCTTTTAAAGAAAAGACAACAGTTAAAAACCGTTGTCTATGTACGTGACTTTTAACAACACTGGTTTCAACAACGCTTAATAGACAACGGTTAAAAAACCGTTGTCATTGGTAGAAAAGACAACGGTTAATAACCGTTGTCTATTGCGTGACTTTTAACAACACCGGTTTCAACAACACTTAATAGACAACGGTTAAAAAACCGTTGTCGTTGGTAGAAAAGACAACGGTTAATAACCGTTGTCTATTGCGTGACTTTTAACAACACTGGTTTCAACAACACTTAATAGACAACGGTTAAAAAACCGTTGTCGTTGGTAGAAAAGACAACAGTTAATAACCGTTGTCTATTGCATGACTTTTAACAACACCAGTTTCAACAACACTTAATAGACAACGGTTAAAAAACCGTTGTTGTTGGTAGAAAAGACAACGGTTATTAACCGTTGTCTATGCGCAGGACCTACAACAACACCGGCTTCAACAACACTTAATAGACAACGGTTATAAAACCGTTGTCGTTGGTAGAAAAGACAACGGTTAAAAAACCGTTGTCTATGCACAGGACCTACAACAACACCGGCTTCAACAACAGAAAGTATACCCCTACGACAACGGTTAATAACCGTTGTCTATGTGCATTTTTCTTGTAGTGTTAGCCTTCCATACAAGTTCAATTCTCAAGCCAATAACCAAGCACCAAAATTATTTAAGTGTGTGATGATCAAGTGTGCACAAATGCTAAGTTGAGATTATGCAAAACTTGGCTTTGAATGAGATTCCATAGGCTTGCCCTTCATACTCCCACTAGTTCAACTCCAAGATTGCATGCTAAGATCAAGTAGGTCTTTATTAGGCTTGTAATGGGGCTAAGGGTGAATGGCTAATAATGAAGGGGTTTGGAAATAAACAAAGGAGAGAATTTCATATTTATTCACAATTGAGGCTAGAAGAGATATGACATCTATAAACTAAGGAGCAATTTACAATGAAACACAAAGCAACACTCTAAAGAGGTGGGGGTTGAGTACAACTTTCAACACAAACTAGAATCAAGATTCAAACTTTTATTCTTCTTCCTTTTCTTTTCATTTTTCTCATTTCATCTCTTTTTGAAGACTTTTTTCTGAATTTCCTCATCATTTTTTTTCTTTTTTTTTCAGAACAATAAACAAACTTATTCCATGAACCAATACCCCCACACTTAGACAAAATTATCAAGAGGATTGCTAACAAAACAAGCTCCAATAAAGATCTCTTCAAAGAAAAAGAATAAATGCTCTATTCTCTCAAGGGTGGAGGGAAACATTTTGACTAGGGGTTAAGGGTTAAATGATGAGGGTTAACACAAGGAAAAACTATCAAAATGAAGGGACAAGTGCTTAGCACTTATTAAACAAACACAAAAGGCTCAACGAGGACAACTAGCGGTAAACACGTGTAAAGGTTAGGCTTGAAAGGCTCGGGCTAAACAAAAATGGCCTAAATCATTTCAAAACATGCAAAACTTTAGACTTCACACAAGGAGTAATGAGGCAAGTTCTAGCAAAACAACCATGACCGGAATCTCACATAAGCCTTCACTAACAATGTATAACACACAAGATCCAGAATTGATTCAATTATTAAGTGGTTAACAATGCTATTGGCAAGAGAATAGATCAATCATGTATTACCCCTTGGCTCATCAATGACAAGTTGAATTGCAACAAGTTCCACCAAAACAAACCACAAACCAACAAAGAGGGAGTAATCACAACTTCAAGCAAGGAAAGACAATTTACCAAACATTATGCACAAAGAGTCATCCAAGCAAAGTTTCAAAAATTTCAATTTTTTTTTTTAGAAAACACCCAAATTATCCCCTCCCCCACACTTAAAGGCTACATCGTCCTCGATGCGAAAGAAAACAAAGCACAAGGGGGGAAAGGGTGGCACAATAAGCACAAGGAGCACAATCTCTACTAACTACACCAAGTAAAGCACTATACACAATTAAAGAAAGTAGAGAAGGTAGATGAGAATCCCTTAATGAATCTTCTAGTACCAAAAAAATCATAATGAAGCCTTCTTGGAATTGAGCATACTCCTTGGTGTCACTCCTAGAGTCAAGAGAATATATACATGAAAGCACAAGTGAAAGCATGATATATCAAAAATAAAAATGTAAAGAAAAATAAAGAAGAAAGAAAAGTGCAATAAAATGAAAGATAACATGGGGTGCCTTCCATGAAGCGCTAAGTTTAATGTCGCTAGCTTGACTCAACCTCTCAAGGAACTATCCATGCATGATTGGATGAAGATGAGTTTCTTTTCTCCATCCACTTTCTCTTCAATGAATGTCCTTAAATGTCGGACATTAAGGAACTTCTTTAAGCTCAAAAGTAACATATTCTCCTCAAAGAAATTGCAATGATCAACTTCCAAGAATATGCTCTCTTCTTCAATCATCATCTCTTTTTCTTCAACATTTTCTTCCAAATAGCACTTCAAGTGGTGGCCATCAATATGCTCTCTTAAGCTCAACATCACCACTTCAAAGCTTAAGAAATAATGTTCATCCAAATCAAACTTCAAGCATGCCCCTTCCTCAAATCCATTTTTAATCCACAAATCAAATGATGTCTTCTTTCTAAACCTTGGATCATGATAATACTCAAGAGCTTGATCATTCTCTTTAGTTCCACACCTTTTCTCTTCTGGACATTTCCCATCTTGAATAAGCAAGAAGAACCTTGGGACTTTGACATTCACCAATAAGAATTTGGAGTCCTTAAATATGAATATCGGCCAATGTGGGCCAATACTCTCAAAACCCTTAACTCCTCCCGGTTCCCAAACTCTTCTAAAATTCTCAACATGCTCCATTAAAGGGAGTTCCTCATTTAAGTCTTGTGTTCTCCCAACTACATTTTCCTTCAAATTCTCTTCAAATGGACAACTTTCAATGTGATCATTGTCACCAACTTCCATATTGTCTTTCCTTTATTCCTCAACACTCTCATCTTTTGTTTCTTCCTCAACACCATCATTTTCTTGAACTTCTTCAATTGGACCATCTTGTAGTTGCTCCTTATCACCATTTCCTTGCAAGTTTACACTTTCTCCCCAACTTGGTGTTTCCATCTCAATGCACTCATCATAAACCTCATCATCTTCATCTTTATCTTTGAGATCCTCACCTATCTTCTCATTTGCTTTAACCACAAGACCTTCATTTGGCAAGAACAACTCTTGTAGAACATCTACATTGGAAGACAATTCTTGAACGGGTTCTTGAGTTGATATACCTTGTATTTGAGCCATCATGTTGTCTAGTAGAACTTGTTGTTCATTCATTTGCTTAAGCATGTTGGCCATCATAAACTTCATCTCCGGATCTTGATCAAATGGTTTGAATTCTTGTTGAGGTTCTTGATAGAGTGGTTCTTGAGGTTCCCATTGATTATTGGCATATTCATCCTCACTTGGTCGCATTGGACAGCCCTCATCCTCAATGTCCTCATCGGGTACAATAGTGACTCCCCAACGCCTAGCCAATGCTAAGTTCTCCTCATCTAATTCATACTTTCCAACACTTGGTGAATGGGTGTGAAGATCATATGGGGGTTGAGTGCCTTGGGGGTATGGTGTGTAATGAATGGGTGAAGGGTATGGATTTGGAGAGTAATCTTGTGGTGGGAAAGGATGTTGAGGTGGATAGTAGTCTTGTGAAAATTGAGGGTGTTGATCATAGAAAGCATATTGGGGATCCTGGTATTGTTGAGGATATGGATTATGGTATGGAGGTTGGGAATGGCAAGGTAAGTCTTGGTAGGATTGTGGTGGGTAAGGATCTTGAAATTGAGCATCATGGAAGCTATTTGGAGGAGGGGTTTGAGTTGTACAAGGACTAATGGATGGGGCATTGTAGTATCCTTGTTGAGGCATGTAGTCTCCATAACCCCCATAAGATTGAGAGTTATAATACCCTCTTTGGTCCATCTTGCTAAATCTCTTTCAATCAAACCAAATGAAGTAAACTTGACAAGAGAATAAGAAAATAAAAACAAAACTTAGTCTCCTAAGATTCCCTAAACTCTAATGCTAGTAAAACAAGCAATCACATAGAACCACCAAATTGCCAATCCCCGGCAACGGCGCCAATTTTTGATGTAGCAAAAATAAGATGTGAGCTCGGGTATGAAATATCGTCCTCAGGGGATTGGGGAATATGGCACGCAATATGCAATCACAATAAACTAGGCACTAGCATAAGGAAATCAACAAGAAGCTAAGCAAACTACAAGTTTAAGGAAATGATAAGACTAACACATATACACAAAGATAAACACAAAATAAAGAGATAGGACTCAAGCTAGGGAGCATTATCATCTAGATGATTTAACAACCTAAGGGATTAGAGAGAACAAGTAACCAAGGAATCAAGCACGAATGCACGTAGGTATCCTAGTCTATGAACCATTCTCGTGATTAATAAACAAGGATTATGACAAGGAAATGCCGCACTTTCGTGGTGAATCAATTCCAAGTCTATCAAGCACACAAAGCATCTAAAGCCCCCAATTTCCCCTATTTTCGGAGGAAGAAATCGGATCTATGCAAGGGGTGGCTTGGATTCATCACCCAAGTCTCATTGAGGCAAGGAATCCTCCAAAAACAAGCTAATGAATGTGTACATTAAACATTAACAAGATATAAATACAAAACCTTCACAAACACATGAACCCTAGGTTGGAGTTCTTCCCCTTTTTTGCAATAATCACAAATCAAACATCAAGATAGATAATACAACCCTAACTCAAGTCCATAAACTAGCTACTCATGATTCAATAGCATAAAGAACACAAAAACATAAATATAAAGCATAAACATTGCAAAATAAAGAGATAAAACAGAGAAGAAAACTTCACTAAGAAATGGATGGTAAATCTTGGAATCCAAGTGTTGAATCCTTGATTACAAGCTTGAAATATGTTAAGAAACCTAAATCTAAACCTAATCTAACACTACAATATGAAAGGAAGGGAAAGAGAGAAGCTAGGGCTCAACCATGGGTCAAAACCGAGCTAAAATGAGTGAAAAACGCAGTATATAAAGTTGCAGAGGGCTGGCCACGGGTGTGGCCACGCCCTTGGCCACACCTGTGGCCAGAAAGGCAGTTTACACTGCCCAGTGGCCACGGGCGTGGCCAGACCCGTGGCCACAAGGCAGTGTGCACTGCCTGTGCACTGAGTCTGTATTCTAGGTCATTTTTCACTCTCTAAACGTTTGAATTAGCATTTGGTGCTTGAATAAACGTTGTATCCCTTCAGGTTATCTTTTCAATGGAGCAAGAATCACTTCATTTGGACATTCCTAGGCTGTGATATGGTCCAAAAACCAAACATTGGTCAGTTTTGAATTATAAGTTTGGAACTTCAACTTCAAGGATAATTTTGACCCCTGTGGCTTCCTTTTTAGGCTTTGATGTCTGAATATGAGTTGTAGCTCTTTGAGTCTTCTTTCCAATGGGACAAGAATCACATAAATTGGATATTTCTAGACCGAGATATGCCCCAAAAACAGAACAGTGGCCAAACCATGCGAGAATTTCAACTTGTTGACACTTGTTCCACTTTTGCCTTTGGTTTAATTTGTCCATATGATCAACACCATTGAAAACATCACTCTTTGGCTCCTTTGGAAGTGTTGCATCCATCTTCTTAGCTTCACATTGGCTCCCATCGACTCCAAATGCATCCAACATGATCTAAAATCCTTCATTTCTACTCAAAGATAATGAATTGTGCATAATGGATCAAATGAACAAATAAAGATCATTTTGAACAACATTGTGACACTTCATAAGAAAAACCAGGCTAAATATGGGGTAGACATGGGTATAAATATGTACAATTATGCACTTATCACCCGTCGATTAAATTGAGGACATTAAGCCATTACTCAAGACCATCGATGAGCAATATGTTGACGAGAACAAATATTTGGCGAGTAGCCTGATTATGATCGAATTTTATCAATATGCGTCTTTCCACTATTAAGGGAACGCGGAAACACATCGTGCAACTCAGGGACATTGCGACTCAATTAAAGAAGTTAAAAATTATTCTTCCAGATGCCTTTGTGGTGCATTTTTCACTAAATACCCTATCTCAGGACTATAATGCATTTAAAATTTCCTATAATACACATAAGGAAGAATGGTCTATCAATCCATTGATTACCATGTGTACTCAAGAGGAAACAAGGCTTATGACTGAGCTTGGGGAAAGTGCTTTAATGGCCATAACAAGGCCTAAGAGAACGTCTGGAAAGCCTAAGGGACTTACCATGGCTGCTAAGGGGAAAATAACCCCTAAAGCAGACATTAAGAAGATACAAAAGTTTTTCTTTTGTAAAAAGAAGGGACACATGAAGAAAGATTGTATCAAATTTCAGAAATGGATGTCCCAAAAAGGTAACATTTCCTCTTCTTTTGTTTGTTTCGAATCTAATATGTCAGAAGTTAATACTAATTCCTGGTGTGTTGACTCTGGTTTAACAATCCACATTGCAAACTCTTTGCAGGATATGACAAAACTGAGATAGCCGTCGGGAACTGAGTGTAGCATCTTTTCTCGAAACAAGATTGCATCACCAGTAGAAGCTGTCAGAGTTTGCAATTTAGTTTTGGACAATGGTTTTGTATTGACGTTAGAAAAGACATTTTATGTTCCTAGTTTTTCTAGGAACTTAGTTTCAGTATCTAGACTTGTACCCTTCGGATATTCTTTTGAATTTAATACCAATGATTTCAAGTTACTTCATTATTCTACTTGTGTTGGTACTGGTACATTGTCTGATGGTCTTTTCCGTCTTAAATTAAAGAATGATTCAGTTTACAATTCTTTACATGTTCAAAACGGCACCAAACGATGCAGTATTAACGATAATTCCTCAATGTTATGGCATCGGAGATTAGGTCATATCTCCATTGAGCGTATTAAAAGGTTGGTAAAGGATGGAGTACTTTCTACTCTAGACTATACTGACTTTGAGACTTGCGTTGACTGCATTAAGGGTAAGTAGACAAACAAGTCAAATAAAGGTGCCAATAGAAGTACAACGTTGTTGGAAATTATTCATACTGACATATGTTGTCCTGATATGACAATACCTGGTCAGAAATATTTCATCACCTTCATTGATGACTTTTCAAGATTTTCCTATGTGTATTTACTTCATCATAAACATGAACCATTGGAAGCCTTTAAATCATTTAAAGCTAAAGTTGAAAACCAATGTAACAGGAAAATACACATAGTTAGGTCTGATAGGGGTGGTGAATACTGTGGTAGATATACTAAGAATGGGCAAGCACCTGGTCCATTTTCTAAGTTTCTTCAAGAGCATGGGATTGTTGCCCAATACACCATGCCTAGTTCTCCGGATCAAAATGGTGTAGCTAAAAGAAGAAACCGAACCCTTTCGGATATGGTGCGGAGTATGCTTAGCAACTCTAAGCTTTCGAAGTCGTTGTGGGACGAAGCAATTAAGACGGCAACGTATATATTAAACTGTGTTCCAACCAAGGGTGTCCCTAAGACACCATTTGAGTTGTTCAAAGGTTGGAAACCGAGTTTGCAACATATGCGTGTTTGGGGATGTTCGTCTGAGGTGAGGATATATAACCCACACGAGAAGATACTTGACCCAAGGACGATTAATGCTCTCTTTATTGGATATGCACAATCTTCTAAGGGTTATAGATTCTATTGTCCATCTCATACTACTAGGATAGTGGAATCAAGGAATGCTAAATTTCTTGAAGATGACTTGATTAGTGGGAGTGATCGGTTTAAGGACTTAGTTCTTTCCTTCGATCATACTCACTCTCAACCTTCTACGTCATCTGGTGGGGTTGTACTTATCTACAGTGCTCCTTTAGTTCTGCCTGCAGATATACCACCTACTGTTGAGGATCAGCCTTTGGAAGAACTAGTTCAGGACTTACAGCAACCGCCTGAACTAGATTTCGAACCAATGGTTGAACCAATTAAGGATATACAGCAACATCCTGAGCCGATGCAGACTGAGCCAATTCAAAAACTGCCACCAGTTCCTGAAGAAGTAGTTGACCTACAGCCTATGCAAGGCGGTGGGGATCCAACCTTAA